ATGTTGGATGGTGGAGATGCCATCAGCCAGGGTCTCTGAGGACAGTGCCCTGGAACAGAGCCCCCTGAAAACCTACCACAGCCACCTCACATGAGAGAGATATACCCATGTCACTGATGTAAGATGCAGCATAACTGGCTCATCATAACTGGCGTGTCACAGGGACAGCAGCTCCCTGACATCCAGGCTGTGCTCAGGGCACAGGCTGTCACTACCCCATGGCATGGTGTCTTTTGAACAGACTTACCTTTAGAGGGCTGTAAGTCCGTGGGTCGTGGGCTGCTTCTATGTCGGTGAACATGTTAGGATGGACTCTTCAGCTGTGAGGAAACACACCATGGTGGTGATTTGGTCCTTCAGGAAGAGCAGTTGTTACATCAGGGCAGGGACTGGCACCCCCAGAGCTCCTCCCCCAGCCATCTCCAGGGCTGCATTGCCCCAGTGGTATTTGCCGCATGTGCTATGATCCCATCAAAGCCATCAGGATGGGGATTTGGGCAGAACAGTGGCCTGGGGTTTTATGTGGCAAATCCACCCCTCCTGGCTGTAGGCAGGTGGCAGTGGTGAACTGGACACAGCCCTGAAAGTCCATATCTTGTGGTACAAGTAGAGAGTGACAACTAACTCGAAGGCCAAGCTGAATGAAAGCCACCTGGGCTGACAGCTGTGCAAGCATCCAGATGTTGAGGTGGTTGGTTCTGTGGAGGGGTCTGTCCAGGCTGCCCTGAGCAGGTGTGTGAGAGCTGAGCCTTGGAGCAGTATGAGAGTAGAAGACAAAGGCCAGGGCAGCGTGAGGAAAGACCCAGAAGAGGGAAGACCCGGGAGCTGGAGGGGCTTGTCCAGCAGTAGTAGCAGTCTGGGGAGCCTGGTCAATTATATAGAGGGAGGGGAGTAGGAAGGGGGACAGAACCTGATCACAAAGACCCCCAAAGCCCCTGCCACCCCCAGTCACTCTTCATTTCGACACAAGGGTCAGGAAAAGAATTCAGAGGTAGATGGGTAGAAAGAATTCATTCGCCAAATGAAGCAATAAGCTAGAAAAGATGCTTCCTTTTAACAGCCACACCCTGTACTCCAAGGGAGCATGTGAGACACTGTTCTGTCTCCAACCCACAGAGCTGAGAGGGCAGCCGGCAGCCCCGCAGCCCCACTCCCGCTCCCTCACACAGATGGTGGAACTAACTCCTGACGCAGCCCAGGTCCTCTTGGGTTCCAGCCAGCAGCACATCCTCCACCTCCATCCTGTCTAGAGGGCGAGGGAGGAGACGACATGAGATGAAATGGAAGGGGTAAACCACACGGGGACCACAGAGTACGTGCTGCTGTGACTACACAACCGCCATGAGTTGGAGCTGGCCCTGTTCGTGTTCTGCCTGGCCATCTGCTCCGAGAACATGCTGGACAACTCCCTGCTCATAGCGCTGAGCCTGCTGGCCCCCCATCTGCACGGCCCCCTGTACTTCTTTCTCAGCAACCTCTCCCTCATGGACATCTGTGGCATGTCTACCTTAGTGCTTCTCATGCTGGTCAACTTCCTGAAAGCCCAGAAGACCATCTCCGTCCCTGGCCGTGCCCTGCAGATTTCCTCACCCTGGGGCTGGGTGCCACAGAGTGACTACTCTTGGCCATGATGTGGCCATCTGCTGGCCACTCAGGTACTCGGAGCTCATGAACAGGCAGGTGTGTGTGAGACGGCCGTGCCGAGCTGGGGAACAGGCTTTGCCGACTCACCGCTCCAGTCCATTTTCACCTGGCGCAGCCCTTTCTTTCTGTGGCCACAAAGTCATCAACCACTTCTTCTGTGAGTTATTAGCAATTCTCAGGCTGGCCTGTGGGGACATCTCTCTCAATGCCCTTCTCATCATAGTGGCCACTGTTGTCCTGACACTGTCACCACTTCTCCTCTGCCTGTCCTTGCTACCATTCTTAGGGTGCCCTCTTCTGCAGGCTGGCACAAAGTCTTCTCTACCTGCTCTGCCCACCTAACAGTGGTGGTGATTTTTTATGGTTCTATCGCCTTCATGTACTGTAAGCCCAAGGCCGAGAACCTCCACTGGAACAAGATTATCACCTTGTTCTATGGGATTGTGACACCCTCACTGAACCCCATCATCTACAGCCTGAGGAACCTAGAGGTGAAAGCTGCTGCCAGAGCCCTTCTGCAGGGAGATCTGCTCTCCAGGAAGATGACCCACTTGGCCTGCTGCTCTCCTGCTCTGTCAGGCTGATAGGGTGGGGGGATACCGTGGAATGAACTTCATTTCAGTGACAAGCACAGAGGGTTTGAGAGCTCCTGCTGCCAGTGCACTGGAAGCTGGCTGTGGAGGACAGGAGAGCACTCTGCATCATCCTCGTCCACTGGGACTAGAAGGGACACCACTGCTCACCACAGCAAAAGGAAAGGGGAAAATCACAAAAGCTCGCTCTTAGAGCATCCACACAGCAGTGGCATGTTACTTACATTTCATTGCCCGACACAGGGCGTGCTACAGCCAGCCTTGGGGGTGGAAACACACCTACGACATGTGGGAAAAGGCAGCAGGGATGGGGGATTGTTTTAGCCTGATGACCACCAGTGCACACCACATAGTCCCCCTGGAGCCACAAGAGACGTGTCCTCCTCTGACTGCCTCCCTGCACGGCTGTCACCAGAGCCATCACACAGCAACTCTGCTTAGCCACCACAGAGCCTCTAAGGCACCAAGCTAGCTAGGCTGGACTGTGCTCCCCAGAGTCTCCTTCCCTGGCCACAGCAGAAATCCGCATGAGACCTGGGAGGCGATTGTGAAGCTGCAGGAGCACCACTTAGTGCCGCTCGCCTGCTGCCCCCTTATGGTCAGGTCTACCCTCCAGTCCCACTGCATCGCCTTCCACTGTCCAGTTGTGGCCAAAGTGGCAAAGTTCCATGACAAAGAAGCTAGTCCCGTCCTGGTCACCAGGGCCCTGCGATCGAAGGCTCTACAGCCAGACACAGGTTCTACTTTGTCTTCATCTCTAACCTGCTCTTACCACCCCCTCTCTGCCAGCCCTTGTGCCCCACAGCACCCTGAGGCCCAATATCCAAAGCAGGCAGAACAGCTTTGCATAAATTTCTCCAACTGCTCCCACCACAGTCCAGGTTTATTCTCTTTAACAAATCCCCAACATCGCAGACTGGTCCTAGAGTCACTTGCTAACAGCTCACTCATCTGTGCCCTCGTCTCACCGACAGACACCACCACGACAGGCCTTCCAATATTGTGACTTCCAATAGTTGCATTGCTGCATGGTTATCACCATTCTCCAAAATCTGTGCTCTGCACTAGTCCCCCAAATACCCATCTGATCATCTAACTCCAGTTTAGCCTCCCACGGCTCCTCATCCCCAGAAGATAACCAGACCTCTCCCACCGGAGCAATCTTGGCACTGCCGCTGGCCTTGGCGCTCGACTCCACCACAGCTGCGCTGCGGGCTTCGGCACACCCGACTATTCCCGCTTCCCTGGGTGAAGTCAGTCCTCGCTGCTTCTGTGTCTCCCCACCCCCCAGCTCTTCCTTCTGCTGCCCACACACTTCGTTACCCTCAGCTAACATGTATCATCTGCCAGGCAAGATGATATTTCCTGCACTGTGTTCTAAGTGTTTTACTGGTTGGGCACCAGATGAACTATGGAAACCTCAGGTGAGGGCTGCAACGTAGATACTGACAACCAAGAAGAACACTCCCGGCATCTTGGCACGATGGAAAGTCACTTCATCCTCACTCAAACCCCACCTCTTCCAAGAAGCCCCTCCGGACCCCCCCGGGAGGGTGGGCTCTACCGCAGCTTTCTGCCTCTTCGCTCTCCTTTTAACGCTCTCCCTCGGTCCTCAATGTCAGCTCTTTGAGTTCATGCATCCTACTGACCTGAGTCTACATATCTTAATTGAAGGAATAGTATCTGATACAGAAACAAACACCTTTGACACCACTTCACCACTCCCATGGCCACTACCTGCTCAGTGTCTCAAGGAAGAGGTTGCAGAAAGCTGAGAACAAGGGATGCTTTCCTGACTTTTGAGTTTTAAAAGTCAAGGCCATAAAGGAAATAGAAAAAACTTAGGCCTAGACAACATGTTTGGAGAAAAAGCACCAAGTCAAAGTCAGACTTCCCCACCTCCGGATACAACCCTCACTGAGCTAGGGAGGAGAGGGCCTGGAGTGAAAGCATTGGTACAGAAGTCCCAAAAGGGAGGGGCCCCGGTTCACAGGCCCCAGGCCTGCTCAGATTGCAAGATCTGAAAGCTGGTTGAGAAACGAGTACTCTGTTGGTCAAGTAAATCCTAGCTCAGGACCCCAGAACAGAAATGGCTTTATGGCGTGTCTCGGTAACCAGGGTCCTTGCGTGGGGAACAGAAGTGGCACAGAGAGCCCCGGGACCCTACAGGGCATGCACGTGGGACAAGGACTGCTCTGGCATGGTCGCCCCATACGGCTGACTGAGGCCCAGGGGGGATGATGGAAACATCAGGGAGCCAGTGCAGCACAGGCCTGTGGCAAGAGCAAACACACTTCCAACCTCTGGGTGCTTTGTAATACCCTTGAAGCTCAGTTGTGAGCCATGTGGAAAGAGCAGGATCCCCCAAATCACAAAAGATTGTTCCCAGCACTCAGACTCAAAAGAGAAATTACATTTTTATGATAGTTCCTGTGCACGTTTTCACCAGTAGTCCAAGTTCTTGGGTCCTCAATTTCTCTTCCTGCTGGGTGTGGAGGTCACAGGGAGGTCTGATTTGAATCATTCAAGGCAGGCAGATTCATAATTCTCTCAGTCTCTTCCCTCTCCCCACCCCCACCCCTGCCCCCACCCAACACACATTCTTTGCTCCCAGCTACTGCAAACTGACATGATGGAGTAAAACCTTCACACCATAGCTCCTGCAGCTCATTCAGGTTGGGGCCCCAGAGGCCTGTGGGTGTCCCCAGAGGCGCTCTATCCCTTCCCTCCCCATGCCCTTGGGCCCAAGAAAGCAAGCAGCACAGAACCAGGAAACACTTCATTAGAGACAAACCAGACTCCACCTGCATCACCTCAGGATGCCATCCCGCCAGTCCCAGTCCTTTTTACCCTACCACCCCCCCATAGCACAGCCCAGATGCCACCTTGGGGAGGAAGCTTGGAGTCAAAGTTGCTGAGCTGTTAGATTGGCTCCATCTCCTTAGGAATGACACTGTGTGCTAAGAGGCCCTGTCTCTATGGGAAGGAATCCGTGTAGTCAGGAGGGCACCCCATCTTTCCCCGTGCCCCAGGGTTGGAGTCCTTGGTCCTGGGGGCTCACAGCCCTTATGCAGGTTGCAGTCCGCAAGGCCTCTATGGATGCAGGAGGACTCCAGGCCCTCACGAAGTGTTCCTGGTTCCCAGAAGAGTTCCATGTCCTTGAGGAAGACTCAAAGTCATCAAGAAATACAACTTGTCTCTTGTGCCAGGGACTTTTTGCCCCTAGGAAGGGTCCGTGTTCCCCATGGGCAGGCCCACAGCCTCTCTCAGCTGGCACAGATGCTGCTGACAGTGGCCCCTCCAGGGCCCACGAGGCCCAACTCCTCCTGCTCGTTGATGCACAGCTGGTAACCACAGCCACGGGCCCGGGCCCCAGAAGGGACCCGGCGCTCAGTCTTGGCGCGAGGTGGCAACAGGAAGCCCACACTGCCAGCGATGAGCATGTGCCAGATGCTGTGAATGTAGAAGTAGTTGTCCCGGGTCTCCACAAACGCATAGAGAAGGACAGCACTGCCTGCAATAAGGCTGCCTGGGCACAGGTAGAAAAGCCAGCGACGCCAAGTAGGTGGGTAGCAATGCCGGCGGCGGACACTGCGTACTGTCTGGGGAGGCAGAGAAGTGGGGCTCAGGAATGCGAGGCCCTAGAACTCAAGTCAGAGTAGGTCACTCAGGCTCCCCTGAGCTCTGGTCGTGACCGGAAAGCAGCTGTCACATCAGAGTGAGCACCATGCGCAGCACAGTGATGACAACAGGGTCCAGCCCACTTAAAGCGGAGACTAGATATCCAGGGCCCTGTCTCCAAGTCGGGCTGGAGACATCCCCTCGCCCTCCCACCCCATCACCCTTACCCAGGCTGTGGCCAATATTCCCAGGGCGAAGAGGCTGGGTCCCAGCAGGTTCCAGAGTCCATGTCGGTCTAGCTGCAGAGCCATGGACAGCAGCATAGCCCCCAGCAAATACAGCACCTAGAGAAAGAAGACTCCAGGGCTGGGCCAGGATGGCAAGAGGCAATGGCCATGTTCTCAGGGAGAGGCTGGGCATGCATTTCAGGGAGATTGTAACTATGGCTGTACCCCAGGGCCCACTCTGGACTGACCTGCTTGACCACAGGCTGTAAACGAGCCATGGCAATGACAGTGACCCACACTGACATTAAGGAACCCAGGAAATCACAGAACTGCAGCACATCGTAGTCCATGATGCAGAAAACCACAATGCCTGGTTGGTCACAGGCATGATAGAACTGGAGGAAGAAATAATAGGCATTGAGAGAAGTTGGGGCAGAGGTCTAAGCCTAGGAAGCTGGAGAGAGAGGTCAAGGGTGAAGTGCTGCTGTCAGAAAAGCCGAGGTCAAAGGACACAGACGAGGGCCTCTCTGGTGGCACAAGGGGTTAAGTCTCAGCACTATGAAGCCATCTGCAGCACAAGTTCGTGAGTTCGATCCCCAGTCGGGGAGGTGACACATGGCGTGGCAGACCTCTCCTGTCTTGCCTGCTGCTCCCCTCAGCAGTGTGCTTCATTGATCTGCCTGTTCTGCTCCCCACTCTGTCTCTGGTGAATCTTCTCATCTTGCTGCACCTCTGGCCTATACCCCAGCTCTTGTATGCATAAATAAATAATTTTTTTAATGGGGGACACACAAGCTGAGCAAATTGGGGCATGTCCCTTCCCTACTCCTGAGAAAAATGTGATAGAGAGTCCTGGTCTGCCTCACATGCTGCCTGTATCTGGCACCCCTGACTCTTATCCTCACCTTCCTAATATTCCTGCTTCTGGAATGTACCATGGAGTGCATAGGCCAGGTGGTGGTGCTTTAGGGTGCAAGCTCTGGGACCCGTCCCTGGCCAAACCAGCCCCCAAGCCTCCCTGCACATTCATCTCTCCTGGTCACTCAGACTCTGAGTTGGCTTCACCCACTGGCTGGCTGTCTTCATCCCCTCCTACCCAGCGCTGTGTGGGTCATAGTTAAAAAAAAAAAAAAAAAAAAAGGCAGTTCTAACATCCTAAGAGCACAGCATTTCGTTCCATGGAGAAGGGAATGTCCAGCCTGAGAGAAACAGTAAAGAGCACATAGAAAGACGCTTCAGAGAGGGGCAAGTACACAGTGGGGCCGGCCCTGGACTAGACACCGTTGCCGTCAGCCCCATGCCTTGGTCTGTATGCCCAACCCTGCTCTCAGGACAATGCTGGCGTGGCCTCTGGTGGCCAGCAGTCCCTTCTTTGTGGAAAGGGTTATGCAAGGACATATGTCTGAGTTCTTTGTCTTAGAACATCTATTTTCACCATCCTTTAACCTTCTATGTAGTGTCTTGAGTATTTATGGATGCCAAACATTAAGAACACGTGTTGTTTTCAGAATGTCTTTGGTGCAAAGATGACAGGAATGTGTGTCCCTTTGTGTCACATGCCTATGCACCCAAAGGAAAGGAATGAATAGGAGCCCTGAGGACAAGCAGCCTCGCCTGGAGCAAACACGACAGTGTGTACTCGCTCCTCCCACCTGCGGGAATGGCTCCTGCTCGCGCCAGGAGGAATGGGTTGTTACAGTGATGGAAGAGGGTTAAGAAGAAAATAAAAGACCTATGACAGGAACAAAAGGATTTTTGAGCATTTAAATATGATCAAATTCAAGAAGCTTGAATTCAAGGAGTTTGAAGCATGCCAGCAGATTTTGGGAATCAAAAATGTTTAAGATTCTGTGAATTGAAAAAAAAAATTCTGCAAATCCACCTGCATGACTCTGCCCCTTGCATGCTGCCACAGGCCCTCTGGGAGGAGATGCTGAGGGCATCTCCTGGCCAGAGAGACAAACTAGTGTTCTTGCCACAGTTGGACCAAAACACATCAGGCAAAACTGAAGGTTGGACAAACAGGAAGGCCAAGTTGTAGCACCTGTAGGTGCCTTGGAGGGCCTGGCAGTGACTGGCTGAGAGGATCCTTGAGGCCCAGGTCACTTTCTTCATCTGTCTTTTAGAAAGTAACTCTTAAGTCACAGGGGCTCTGACACCAAAAAAGAGGTGGCCTTAAAAACACCAATGATACAGTATCCAGGCCTTCAGAGGCCGCCGTAGGTGTGGGTGAGGGCAGGGATAGTCGGTTCACAGCGAGGGAAGGACAGCTGAGCAGTATCAAGTCATTCTCCCCCTGTCATCAATAGAGTTCCTAACTTTGGGGGAAAATAGAAATGAGCGTGCCTAGTCTCCTGTTTGAATGAGTTAAGAGTTGAGAATGAAAAGGTAGAGGCAGCAGGATCAGAAAGAAAAGTTCAGGAAAATGGAGCATTCGATCCAGAACTTACTTCACAAACCACGACACCCAACCTTAATCAAACAGCACAGGGAAATTGCAGCGAAACTGTTGTGACAAGTGACAGAATCCAGCAGTCGCTACTAAAATGGGAAAACCGGCTCAAAAGTTCAGTCTCTTGAGTCAAAAGACAATAAAGAAATTGCTAGTGTTGTTTTTGAACCCCTTGAAGATTTCATCCAGTCAAATTGCAAAAATTAAA